ATTTAGATGTATGTCTTTAATATTGGAGAACGACTGTGTTGTTTTTGGAATTGTCTGAAATACAATACATAGAATAATGATTTGCAGAACAAGAACCGGCCAATAAAAAATCGTCTATTGCCAATGCAATTGTTACAATCAGAACTCAAAAATTGGGAATATGCCTTTGCTCAAGCTGCAACCGAGCTTTAGAGTCACAATAGAGTAAAAATAGGAATAGATAAATGCATCAACCATAGATGCTTTCAAAAATAGAGATTATTTTTAGCCAAGGCTAATATCAAACGGTAAAAGGACCATTTCCTTCATATTATGTCTAAAAGTATTTACTTCAAAGGTAGATAAAGTTCATTACAGTTTATGCACAGTTTTATTAGATACTGTCAAATTCACTTGTTTCAAACATGGGTGAATGTTGACAATGCAAAAAGCTAATGAGATAGATTAATGAGATCGATTAGAACCAACACAGATTCAAAAACATTTGAAAGCATTTTAATGTATTTGGGTAAAGCACAAAAGTAGATATTTAGGTATTTTTGAGAATTTAAAAAAACTGTTGATTTGTCAGCAACAGATTAGAGAATCAAATACCGTTGTATAGGGACTGACCCCAGAGAAACCTGCTAAAATAGATTAGCTCCTGTACGGATAATACCAATTTGATTAACGATGTACATTTATCCCAAACTGTCTTGAGAGGAGGAAGTGACAGCACTTCCTGGTTCAACAAAATGTGTTTGGAAAAATGAGCAAAGCCCCACAAAATGGCACAAAGCCACTGATAATGACAGCAAACCACAGTATAGACAGATTTATTAGATAAAAAACATATGTTTAAGAATAGGGCTCAATAAAAGCAAAATATGCAAACATATTTGTAAATAGATTAGAATAGTTTAAACTATAGTGAATAGATTCAGTGCATACATTACAGACGAGGTTGAAGAAAGACTCAGAAGGACATAGCAGTAGTCATCAAAGAGTTTAGTGAAGGAATGTTTCGAATGTGGTTTGTTGTGTGTTGTTTGTCTTCTCTGTATTAACTCTTCACAGATAACGAGCCAGAACCAAGGCGATGATGGAAGAGTTCCCCAGTCCCGTCACCCAGAAGGGATATTGAAAGATTGTGACCTAAATTGGTTTAATATAGGTCAAAAGAGGGAATAATGCATCATCTCAAGAAATGCTGCACACGTTGTTTATATTTTCAGTGATTTCATATTAAGTGGGGTCTAGTCGAGTCAGCCAGACCATGTGAGGAATGCAGAGCTCCCCCAGCCAGAGATAAGAGTTGTTTGGAGAAGGAGATTGATGTCAGACCAGACCAAGACCAGACCAGACAGAGTCCGGAGTCCAATGGGCTAGCTGGAGTACGCGCCTCCCAAAACCAGAAAAAGCTGGATCAGACTGGACCAGTCTGGGACCTGTGACGTCATCAGACTTTCTGATAGAAACTGCTCGGAGGAGATTTTCAGGCAGTCTGAGCAGGGATAGTTAGACAGGGAACATCGCAGAGCGCCTGGATGTCCCCTGCACATTTTTCAGGCCTGGAGGGACAGTTAGAATGGCTCAGCATAGGGTTAGTTTTAGAGAATTTAGGGCTCCGAGAGTTTTTGTATCAATATTTAATTGTAAAGAGAATTAAATGTTCTATTTTTAACTCCTGCATTCTTGGCCTTATTTCTGTATCAAATTCTGAACACGTCAGTCAAATCATTTTTTGACATCACCGTCCAGACGGGCGTGACCGATTTTGCGTGGACTATCGAAAAGTCAACTCCAAAACACTCCCGGATGCCTATCCCATGCCACTCATTCACGATATCCTAGAGTCACTGGAAAATGCTTCATGGTTCAGCGCTCTTGACCTGCAATCGGGCTATTGGCAAATAGCAATGGATGAAGGAAGCAAAGCAAAAACTGCCTTCGTCACATCTCAAGGACTGTTTCAGTTCAAGCGAATGCCTTTCGGCCTGAGAAATGCAGCCGCTACTTTCCAGCGTCTAATGGAAAAAGTGTTGGGAGAACTCAGAGGGCGGACTTGTTTTGTTTACATTGATGACATCATCGTTTACTCCCACACCCATGAGCAACATCTGCACGATCTGGACGCTGTGTTTAATAAACTGCAAACTGCAAACCTCAGTCTCAATATGAAAAAATGTCACTTCTTCAAGCGAGAACTAAAGTTCCTGGGTCACATTGTCACAGCGAAAGGGGTGGAAGTCGATTTATAAAAGACTCGAGCGGTGGCCGATTTTCCACCTCCCAAGGACGTTAAGGCACTTCAGCGATTTCTTGGCCTGGCGGGGTGGTATCATAAGTTCATCCCACACTTTGCTGAAATGGCGGCACCTCTGAACAATCTAAAGAGAAAAGGAGTGGAGTGGGAATGGACCCGGGAATGTCAGGCAAGCATGGATGCCCTAAAGCAATCTTTGAGGAGTCCGCCTGTCCTGGCTCAACCGATTCCTAATTTCCCTTTTCAAGTCCACACCGACGCCAGTGAGGTGGGGCTAGGCGCCATACTGTCCCAAGTCTTCCCAGAGAGCGAGAGAGTGGTGGCCTATGCATCCAGGGGGCTCCGGGGAGCCGAAAGAAACTACTCAACATCGGAGAAAGAGTGTCTTGCAGTGGTGTGGGCTGTGGAGAAATGGAGGCATTATCTGGAAGGGGTTCAGTTTGACGTCTACACAGACCATGCGGCCCTGTCCTGGGCCTTCAACTGTCCAAAAACCTCCTCACGCCTTACCAGATGGACCCTTCGTCTCCAGCAATTCACCTTCAAGGTGCATTATAGAAAAGGGATTCTCAATGCTGCTCCCGATGCCCTTTCAAGAGCATTTGAAGCCCCACCCTGGGAAAGAACTCCCTGTCTTGCTTTCACGTCTACTAGCTGCTCGGATCTCCCTGTCACCATGGCAGAGGTTGCCAAGGCACAACATGACGATCAGGTGGTTTGTGAGTTAAAAGGCGGGAAGATGGACAAACCCAGGGACCCCTACCGCATCGGCTTTGTCATCCACCAAGGGGTTCTGTACCGTCGAGTGCCCTTAAAAGAACAGGGAGAGAAGCATCAGCTCGTGGTGCCGCAGTCTCTTGTTCCGGAGTTCTTAAACGGCACGGTGGCAGAGTGGATAGCACTCTCGCCTCTCAGCAAGAAGGTCCTGGGTTCGAATCCCGGTCGGACCAGTGCCTTTCTGAGTGGAGTTTGCATGTTCTCCCCGTGTCTGCGTAGGTTTCCTCCGGGTACTCCGGTTTCCCCTACCACTAAAAATATGTCCAATAGTTCTAGCATGCGCCTCCTGTACTGGCGACCCCGCTCCCATCTCTGTGTGGAGTGAGAGACAAATGCCCATAATTAACAATTGTAAACCGCTTTGAGACTCAGATCTGCAGTGAAAAGGCGGTGTATAAATAAATAAAGATTACTTACTTAAAGTACTTCCATGACAACCCGTTGGGAGGACATCTGGGACAGCTGAAAACACTATTACGGATTCTGGAAGTGGCGTGGTGGCCCACAGTTCGAAAGGAGGTGTGGGAGCATACGAAATCATGTAAGGTCTGCCAACAGTATAAGGCCGACAACACCAAACCTGCCGGATACCTACAGTCCACAGAAGTCCTGGGCCCGGGCGAGATGTTGGGGGTCGACCTCATGGGACCTTTCCCAAGGAGCAAAAAGGGGAATGTATATCTCACGGTCATAGTGGACTATTTCTCAAAATGGGTGGAGATGTTTCCAATACGAGACAGTAAGACCACAAAAATTGTGAAGATTCTGAGGGAAGAAATATTTACAAGGTGGGGTGTGCCGAGGTATCTGGTCTCAGACCGAGGACCCCAGTTCACGGCTGCTCTACTGATAGAACTGTGCAAAACATGGGGTGTAGTCCAAAAGCTGACTACGAGTTATCACCCTCAAACCAATCTCACCGAGCGCTTCAACCGCACCATCAAGACTATGATTGCATCCTACGTTGGACAACAACATACCGCATGGGATCAGTGGATATCTGAGTTCCGGTTCGCTATTAACACAGCACAACAGGAGACCACAGGAAGAACTCCGGCTGAGCTTGCGTTGGGCCGGCAGCTTAAAGGACCGCTTGAGCGACTCATCCATCAACCGCCAAGTCCGGACCAGCAGCAAAGCTATGACCTGGTGGAACGCCAACACAAGCTGAACGAGGAGGTAAAAAAGAGAGTAGGGGAGCACCAAGCCAGGCAAGCTAAGTACTATAATGCACGAAGGAAGGATGTGCAGTTCACACAGGGAGACATAGTCTGGGTCCGAACCCATCCTCTGTCAAAAGCAACAGAGAATTTTGCAGCAAAGTTGGCACCAAAATGGGAAGGGCCAGCTACAGTGTGGAGGAAGCCAGGGCCGCTCAACTATCTAGTAAGGTGGGTAGGGTCACCTAGTAAAGAGGATAAAGTGAATGTGGTGAACATCAAAAAGTATTATGGGGTTTGACTCTGTTAGCCTCCGGCTACAGATTTTTCAGCCGGGTTGGGAGCGTGCCCGTGCCGTTTGGTCGGGACATTAAAGGGGACCTATAGTGGATTCTTTTATTTTTGTTTTTTGTATCATTGTGATATCCTAATATAATTTGGTGCAAAAGAGGAACCGTCTAGCTATTTGATTCTTGCATTACACTTCAGATTACTGAACAGCACGTTGTTTAATCACGAACTCAGTTATTATTATATGATTGGTAATTTCTTACATACTGCGTGAGTGTTACAGTACATGACCAGAGCTGCATCTTTTGTATCTTTCACATTCAATTTCCTGAAAAAACCTCCGGCGCCTAAAAGTTTAAGATCGACTCGTTCTTTCTATAAATGTTGCTTTTCAGACAAAAGTCAATGAACAAAAGATGGACTTTTTTTCATCCTGATATTTTTTTTTTTTACTCCTACGCTATGCTAAGGTCACATAAGGACTGGCTCAGACATAAAACACTAACTTCTTTAAGGACGGCTGCAGGATGAATACCTCAGACAGCTTGTGGAGCCTGAAAATTGAAACAGCCGTGTTTTGGTGTCAGACAATCAGTCACGGGACGCCCCTCATTTATCCAACACTGCTCTTCTGTCCAAGCACCTATCCATCCATACCCCCACCCCTTCCACCACCAAACCCAGCCCTCCTCCTCATCCGTGCTCCAGGCAGCGGGACCATCCTGTTGGGACGCAGCCTATGGAACGGCACAGTGCCAGTCCCTCCCAGACACTGTCCATCCATCTCCAGACATGGACAAGCCGAGCCAAAGGAGATTTTTTAGAGTAGACGGGGGACAAACTGAACTTTGCCGTCACAGAAAATGTATAATATATATGTAGGTGTATGTACAAAGTATGCATGCACAGATGAGCGCTTGCTTAAAAGGTATTTAGGAGGATTTTCCCAAATTATAGGAAAGACCCGCCCCCTCCACTTTTTGAACAAAGCTCTCTAATCTTATTTGAGGAGCACGTATCACCAGAGTGATATACCTTGATGCTTGTCTGTGGAAATATTTGCACAATACTACATAGATTCATAAAAAGTCATGAGACCACTATGACGGTGGTAACTTAAAGAGAGACTGCCAAAGTTGCACCTCCATGACTCTGACCGCCACCCACACACACCAGATTATGTATATATAGTATCATGATCACACAGGGATCATAATACTGTACATATTTTTCATTTTTGCCTTGATTTGAGATTCAGATTTGTTTTATTTTCCATTTGCAGGTAAAAGAAAACGCATTTGCAAAAGTCCCCACTGTGCACCAGACAAGTACGGAAAAAACAAGATAAGAGTAAAGGAATAAACCCAGCTAAATATAACAAGCTAATAGTGCATATGTATTTTTATTCTTTTTCATTCACAATTTCTTTGACGTGTTGCTGCCATTACTGAAACTGACACCCACTTTTCCCTCTGCAAACTGCATTTCTTATGAGCTGATTTTTTTTTCACAAAAGGTAAATATAAATGTCAAAAGTATTCTTCCCGGTGACCTACATTGTCAGCAGCAGGAGCGCTCCGGCACGCCATGTTAATCAAACGCACCACGCAGGGAGCCACGATGTCCGACCGAGCCCAGGTCCACCGTACGAGACCGCACGCTCTACCAGATTAAGAAACGCTTCTGTACGAAAAGCTGCTGTGTCAATCTCACCCCCAACAACAGCTGAGAATACCAACACCAACAGATAGTGCATGAAATTATGAGAAATACCCGCAAAGAACCAGAACTTATGAGGTTATTTTTCCACCATCACCCACTTATAATAAAACTGGGGAGTATAGCTGCAACTTAAATACGACAATAAAGGCGGACGCTAGCTTCTGACAGTAAACGCTGTGTTGCTATGGTAACTATAGCATTTGATATTCTCTGGTGGAAAATGACAGAAACAAGCTACGCACGGATACAGAAATGTCACGATGTTATGAAGACCAAGAATGCATATGAGATGAGTAAATACACTTCCAATTGTAAAAGCCGTCAAATTGACTGCTCTGGGAGTTCTTGCGTTTATGGAATAATTAGCAGTTACGACTCGAACTCAACTGTCAAAGTAAATGAACTTAATAAATCACTCGTGGCAGGAAGGTGGACGGTCCGTGTACGTCGCGGCCATTCTATTTTTGATTAGGAAAGAAAATACAAAAAACGAATATTGGCCGTTTCCCGTTTTCCGTTTTCAAAATAAAATGTAGAAAACGAGAATTTAATCCGTTTTTCGATTTTGTGTTTTAAAATTAAAAAACGGATAACGAAAAACAGGTCATAATCCGTTTTTCCATTACACATTTACACAAGAAACACCAACATCAAAAAACCACGGCAAAAATTTGATTTTCCATTCTTGATCTTATTTTGAAGCTGACCCGGAATCTGTTAACCATGCCTACCACTATGCCAATTAAAGATTACAAGATATAGAATAATATTAATGTATATCAGCGGACACCATTAGCCTTTTTAGATGGCTAACCGTTCACTAGCATAAACACAGTAGGTTTTGCTATTTAAATTTATAAACTTACCTGGAAAATGGTGCCAATCTTATCCACTGTCATGTCGACATCTTTTAAAGTAACCCGTTTGCTGTCTCGATACAAAACAAAAGTTTTCTCCAACTCTGGTATCTCCATTATCATTCAAAATACTGGAAAACTCTGACTGTGCGGGAAAGCCTCAACAGCTTCCGGGTCAGCTTCAAAATAAGATCAAGAATGGAAAATCAAATTTTTGCCGTGGTTTTTCGATGTTGGTGTTTCTTGTGTAAATGTGTAATGGAAAAACGGATTATGACCTGTTTTTCGTTATCCGTTTTTTAATTTTAAAACACAAAATCGAAAAACGGATTAAATTCTCGTTTTCTACATTTTATTTTGAAAACGGAAAACGGGAAACGGCCAATATTCGTTTTTTGTATTTTCTTTCCTAATCAAAAATAGAATGGCCGCGACGTACACGGACCGTGGACCCTGGGACTATATATGTCCCAGGGTCCACATATATCTTAACATATAAAGCCATAAATGGCTTGGCTCCTTCTTATCTCCAAGACACGTTAGTGTCGTATCAACCAAGTCGAGCGTTGCGCTCACAAAACGCCAGACGTCTGGTGGTCCCTAAGGTCTCAAAGGTCACTGTTGGTGGCAGAGCATTTAGCTACCAAGCTCCTTTACTGTGGAATCAGCTTCCCATTTATGTTAAGGAAGCAGATACGGTCTCCACATTCAAGGCCAGGCTTAAAGCACTTTACTTTAATTTAGCATATAATTAGGTAATATATAATATGTAGTGTATATATTATATATATATGCTGTATTATGTTATATATTATGTTATATATTATTCAATAATGTATTGTGTTATGTTGTATATTATGTTATATATTATGCTGTATGTTATTCTTTATTCAAGGCTAGGTTTAAAACAGTCCTCTTTAGTTTAGCATATGGCTAGGAAGGTAAGACTCGGAGAAGGTTAAACTCCTCAGAGTGTTAGTCAAGCTGCATAGGGAGTCAGTTTGCTGGGAGAAGTATGGTAACTTGAGCACTATCCTCTCCTCCTTCCTACTTTATCTGTTTAGCATTTTTAGGATTCTGACTGTAGTTTGTTCATTGCTATTCACCCGTTGTCCCATTGTCTGTTTCACGGTACGATGACGGGATCTCTGAGCCTGGCCTCCTCCATCTACACCTGCGGACTGCCCCGCCCGACCCGCCTGGGAGTGCTTCGGTCCTGCACCGGACCTGTCCACGTTCAGCGTCCACTGGTCCACGTTCTGTAGCTAGCTTAGGTCCTGGATCATTAGTCTGTCCGTCCGGAGGAGCGGATCCCTTTCTCATATGGGTCTCCCTCCCTGTGGGTTTCCCTAGTGCTCCCCAAGGTTTCTCACTTTTTCCCACTGGGTTTTTTAAGAGTTTTTCCTTGTCGATGCAGGAGGGTCTTGTTGGACAGTTAGTGTCCAACAGAAAGGATTGGTGATGATCAGGACACTTTAGCATTCTACAACATGTATGGACATTTTCTTCTGTGTGTGCTTTATACTGTATTCTTCATGTGTTTTAACTGTTGATTCTCTGACCTGTGTTGGTGATTTCAATGGTTTTGTTAAGTCCTCTGAGATGACTTCTGTTGTGACCTAGGGCTATACAAGAATAAATTGTATTGTATTGTATTGTATTGTATATATGTTTGTGTTATTATTAAACAAGACTGGTGAGGAGAAAAAGCGGATGCAACAATACCATGAAAGGTTTCAAAATCCATAATGAAACAGTGGTGGCCTTTTGTGTTGACTGGCGTTCGATATGTGGACTGAAAAAAGGCAATTTGAGAATAATTGCTTGTCAAATTGTGCATTTATCTTTATTGAACCAGCTCTGTACCATTGTTTCTGCCTCTTGAGAAAGTATTTATCAGGAGTAGATTCACCTGTTCACATTAGAGTGGCCATGACCAAACTAAGGCCCGCGAGCCAACTGCGGACCTCTGTGTCATGTTATGTGGCCCTCTGCCTCAAGAAGTCTTTAAGGTCATGAACAGCAGTCATCCAGCCACCTTCAGCTCTACCAAGAATGTTATACCGTGTTAAAAGCTCAGACCCTCTAGAATTCAGCAAATTACTTTTATATACTGATTTTTACTTTGATGTAGAGAGTGCTAACGTAGCAGGTGAGATGGTAAACATTTGGACATTTGGTCTAAGTTCATGAACTTACTAAACAGTGCATTCAATCAGAATAATTTTTATTGCCACGTAAGTAACAGGAGGTCACAGACTTGGAAATTGCTTTGGCTCAGTGCAACAGTCAGAGAGAGACAATAAAAAATAAAGAATAAAAAACACTTCTAAGGAATAAATGTAAATTTAAAATAGAGTTACAGTTACTATTTACAATAAACAAGTGCACATGGTGCACACAATGTAAGGTGACAGCAGTACAGTGAAGTAACGTGACGTATGATGGGCAGTAAAGTGACTTTATAAAGGGCGGGGGGACAGGTTAAGAAGTGTTCAAGAGTCCAACAGCAGAGGGGAAGAAACTGTTCTTGTGGCGGGAGGTTCTAGTCCTGATGGACCGCAGTCTCCTGCCTGAGGGGAGTGGTTGGAATAGTCCATGTGCAGGTGAGAGGGGTCGGCTGTGATACGACCAGCCCGGCCTCGAGCTCGGGCGACGTACAGGTCCTGCAGCGATGGAAGGCTGCGGCCGATCACTTCCTCTGCAGAGCGCACAATGCGCAAATGTGTAGTACTGTCTCACTCACCACCACCAATGCTGATACTTTGATTGTATGACTCTCACAATGTCTAATCAGTCATTATTTTTTATCATGAAATAATTCTGAATAAAATGTTGTTATCTGAAAACTCACAGTATATTGCTATATCTGCATTTTTGCCAAAATCACAAAGTACCGCTGTTAGTGGCTCACCAGCTTCAAAACCTGAGCTTATCAACTGTGCATGAGCGGCCGGACTGCGCTATAGCACGGCCAAAGTAAATGCATCATTCTTACAAATATCTTCTTAAATACCTTTAAGGCTCTCTATTATACATCCAATCTCTCAACCCTTGCACGTCTGAGAACCGGTCTGTTTACCACTTCAGGCACTTGTAGCACACATCTCTGTCACTGGAGTAGACTTGGCATCTTTCTAAAGCGCACACAAACTCATTCAGCACGTCTCTGAGGAGTGTGCCTGTGCGGCCCTCTTCAGCCGCCTGTCCCGGCTCGCCTCACCTCCTCACCCGCCTCACCCGCC